CTGTGAGTCTAGTGATGTCTGGGAACCTTACAACATACGGATGTGAAAGACTAATATTGGCTACTGTTCACCAGCCTGACTTTTTACACAGTAGGGAAGAGATCCCAGAAATCCTGTACCTTGCGCCCTCTGGTGGTCTCTACTGAGGAGTACATAAGAAAACACAGGCTGCTGACACAAATAGCTCAGCTGAAAAGCCCTGCCTAGTCTGGCTCAGCTATACGAGTAATAGGGAAGATCCCAGGCCACATCTCTTTACCAGGTCCCCATAGAGCTACACAGACCCAGAGAATGATTGATCCCTACCCCCTGCTCCAGTCCACCCAAAGGAGAAAATCTATTGTGAACGGAGTTGCCCTTTTTATCTCTTATCATACAATCAGTTGTGTACAAATGTGATTCAAGTACTTAATTTCACCATTATCTCTGTGGCTGTCATAAAACACACAATATATAAAGACACAAACGACTACCTAACTGTACTAGGTGGTGCGGAGTAACACTGAGCCTTAACGAAATGTGGCAGACAGGGAAACACAGAAAAAAAAGTGTCTGTTGCCGATAGCAGCCAATCATGTTCCAGTTGTAGTTTTTCTAACATAGCTCACACCGACCCGCCACCATCAATGATCCGGTTAAAGAAATTATCATAGAACATAACCCTGATATACGTTCAGAAAAAACTGGGACCTGTGTGGTGAAAAATACAATTGCCATGTCTGTAATTGCGAAGCACACAAAGGTTTGCATATGCGTAACTGTGTGTGGCCACAGTTCCCTTGCATGTCATAATAAGAAGGGATGCACCGATACCCGTTTTTCGGTAACGATATTTATATTTCAGTACTCGCCGATAGCGAGTACAGATAAAAGTTACTTCAGCTAGCATGGAGGCACCTTCCGGCCAATCAGGAAGCTGGGCGGCATGTCATTACCCGCTGCCCGGCTTCTTGATTGCCTGGTAAGCTGGCTCCATGCTGTTTGGGCGGCTCGATGTTGATTGGCCGGGAAACCAGCTCCATGGTGTTTGGCCGGATCAATGCTAATTGCCGGATCAATGCCAATGCCAATCAGAAAGCCAGGAGGTGGGTCATCACCCGCTGCCCGGCTTCCAGATTCTCTGGGAAGCTGGCTCCATGCCTGTTTGGCCAGTTTGATGCTGATTGGTTGGGGAGCTGGCTTCCCGGCCAATCAAGAAGCTGGGCAGCGAGTCATTACCCACCACCCAGGCTTCCAGATTGACTGGGAACCCAGCTCCATGCATGTTTGGCCGGCTCAATGCTGATTGGCTGGGCAGCTGGCTTCTCTGCCAATCAAGAAGCTGGGCAGCGAGTCATTACCCGCCACCGTGCTTTCTGATCTGGCTTCATGTTCCCTCGCGGCACTACTCCCTCTGACTGGAAGTACTTGCCCAAATACTCGGTATCGGCACCGATACTGTTACTAGTATTGGTATTGGTGCATCCCTAAATAAGTGTAGGATCTCCACTGATACTACAGAAACAGTTCTCTAATATATATATTTATATATTAAAAGGACTCTCTTCTTTATCCTTCGCCAAACCCTACGAGGCATCCGCCTCTGTAAGGTCATCTTGTGATAATGAACGGAGACATGCGATTGGCTGCTAAAGGCTGCTCACACACACAGGGCCCTTTGCTAGATTTACAGACATCACTGTAATGGCACTTCTCGAATGTTTCGCATTCAACACTCGGCTCTGACATGGTATATTCAATTTTCACACACAGGATACATACAGTACATAGAGAATATTAGCACAGCTTATTCTTTGTGAGAACATCAGAAACAACAACATAGTCCAGTTCTCATGTTTCTTTTCAAGTTTCACCTTGGAGCAGCGGAGGTTTTTTTTTTTTGGAGGCTCGGAAACCAAAATTGAAGGATGGTGGCAGGAGGGACTGAACCGGACGGAACTGGCAATTTTCCCGACACGGAATAACAGAGAAGCGCTTTTATTTTTTGCTTTGGTTGATTGAGAACGGGTCTGAAGTACCACATCCTCCTGCGCTTATGGGTTCACCTCCTCCATCACTTCCATGACAATGGTCCGCGGGCCGGTAAGGATGAGGTTGCTGACGGCTCTGAAGTCACAATGTAGAACGTTGAGGCCGTTCACGGATACCACGAACTGGCAGATCTGAAAGAGAACATCACAGGTATTTCATCAAACTTGTTTAATAAAGAAGCACAATGAGCAGCAATGATGTGCATAGTGCAGAAACTTATAGCAACTGATCAGAAGTGATAGCATCATGGCGATACAGTAGTCAGCACTGTTGCCTTTAAAAACTAAGGGATCTATTTAAAAACAATTAGCAGAGAAATTCGCCTTGTGAATCTCTGAAAACATTCGTTGTGTGTGAACTGAGGCAAAAATGAACATTCTTAGTATATTTTCTTTTCAGGTCAAGTCTAAAGTAATAGCACATTATGGCCTCTAGATGGAACTGATGAGCAAAAACAAATACCTCTTTCCTATGCTCTTCAGCTCCATCTAGTGGCCACAATGCAGTATTACATTACATTCAACTTGAAAGAAATATACAGTATACTAAACTATATACTATACCATACAAGTATATTGTACTGTAAATCATTAGCAATGCATTGCACTACTGGGAGTGATCACTAGGTGGTGCTTGTTCACAGGATAACACAGAACTTTCACAAATGATCGATCAAACACCCGTTTCCAGGATAACACAGCTCTTTTCAGAGATCATTCACACTCTCATTTCCAGGATGATCCAGCACTTTTCATCCCATTCCTGTACCTTTCCATGTTCCAGAGTCCCTCTCTCCCTCCCCTACAAAGTGGCAGATCGACAGAACAGCGTGTACACAGGGGATTTTTTTTTTTTGCCGGTTAGATGGTAGTTCTGGTTAGCTGAATACCGGATAACAACTGTCATATATTTTTTTGGCTCAAAAAACACACTAGGTCTTATTTTCAGGGTAGGTCTTATTTTTTTTTATTTTTTTTTTATGTACGACAATCCAAAATGAATGCAAATCCTAATCCAAATTAAATAATTCAAAATGGCAAAGAAGAATTGGGTGATCAGGGCAATCAGGGGTGCCGTACCTTTCCAAGAGCAATTTGGTAAACAATCGATGGCCAGAATGAGCGAAGCGCACTTTCACTTCGTTTCCTCACAGACGGAGTGCATTTGGTATCACTCCGCCAGTGACAGGAGCTGGCGCTATAGAGGAAGCATCGGCTTATGCGGCTCTGCTCCCTCCGCTGCCGCCTCGCTTCCTCTAGCGCTCGATTCGATGGCACCGCCGATTCTCTCCCGCGGCTCTTCAAGTTCCCCCTTATGCCACCACCGGCCCTGGGAATGGTCACAACTAGGTCTTATTTTCGGGGTAGGTCTTATATTTTAGCAAATCCCAAAAATAGTACTAGGTCTTATTTTCGTAGGTCTTTATATGCATGTGTGTGTGTGTATATATATATGTATATATATATACACACACACATATATATATATATATATATACATACACACAAGTGGCACCAAGTCCATCTGTACATTATGCAGAATTTGATTCCCCTTTGTGTACATCGTGTAATAAGCTCTGTTATGTTCCACAGAGGGGCCTCAGGAGCAGCTCAGTATGAAGCAAGCAATTAATAAGAACTATTAGCTCTAGGTGCAACAACTGAAATCCACACCCAGAACTGCCGATTTGTCTGAGCTCCAGCAATCCGGATGAAGACAGTTACCCACTTGGCAGCAGCGAGTGTTTCAGCAGAGACTTTCAAAAGAAATGTGTGGTTATCAGCCTGAAAGAAGCCAGAATGCAGTTTATTTAATTTCAGCATTTCGTTCAGCACAAAGGCCTATTCAGTCATGACAAGCCTTCCACTGCTGGCGGGATGCCACAGACAATGGAAGGCTGGCAAAGCATGGAGAGGTCTGCAGAGTACAAGTAAAAGGTTCTGCGAGTAATCACTAGTCTGGATCAGCTCATTTCTGCTCTCTGCTGCTCTTGCACATAAGGTTTAATGATCCGCCAATCTGTGTGTCATATTCGGAGATTACAGAGTAGGAATAACCGAATATTAACAGATTGTATAAAAGAAGTATTTAAAGCTAATGGAAGGTGTGCACAAACGCAATGGAGATGTTTTATGAAATACAAAATTGAAGCTGTAGGTAGAAATATGCTTCCCTAAATGTACCGTATATAGCTCCATACTTGAGTCGCTGATTATATATGAGTATACCATGTATCTAATGTCTCAGCTAGTCTCTGTTAGAGGAAAGATTATTTGTATTGGTCTGCATATTTTAAAGCCAGAAACGGCAGCTTTATAAAAAACCATGCACCTCTGCTAATGTGGTGGTACAGGATGTGATGACATTTCGGTAAACATGACACTTCTAAAATAGAAGAAAACCTCAAAGTGTATTTCCATCTTCGGAGACAAATTTGAGACAACCATACTATTTGTGTGTTATGTGTTCCTATCCACACAGCATAGCTCTACAATTTCAAATTTGCCCATCCCCCACCCACCATAGAAAGACTATGGACACCCTGAGCTTCCTCTGATTAACATACAATGCCTGGAATTCATAAGGAGGGTCTACTACCCTTTTTAGAATTCTGTGGTGCATCCACATGACAAATGGCGGTGCTTGCCCCACATGTATGCACCTGTTAGAAACAGGCACTTTAATTTGGCCCAAGCACCGCCATATGTGGTATGGAATAGTAGAAGCAGGGACACCGGCACTCCAATATAAGCGTGAAGAAAAGTCTTATTTATTAAAGATGTGCGACATATCACATAAAAGCAATGACATGTCATGTGTGGTGTGGAGGCGCACTGAAGCTGGAGTGTCCATACCATCTTTAGTGCACCCCACTACCTCCCATGGACGTCACGCCTGTAACATAGCCGTGAAGCAGACAAGGAGTTTTAATAATGGGTGGCTGGAGCCTAACGGGATAGCTGAAGGACTAGTTCCCCATCAGGTCCGCTTCCCTGAGGACTGACAGCAGGCAGATTCCATATACAGCCTGCAATTGGCTAGCAATCTGACCACTGCCTGGTGTGAATCGCTAGCAGAGCAGATCTGATGGGGAACTAGTGCCTCAGCTTCCCTATCAGGCTTTGCCCACTGTCAGTGTCACCGATTGTTAAGGAAGCTGTCGGCTGAGTAACTATTCACGATTGGTTATTCTGCTGCCTTCTAGAGATTGGACACTGGCAAACAAAATTGTAAGACAGCCACCACTTCCACCATGCTCCAGTTTTGTAGCAAAGCAATTAGGGATGCACCGATACTTTGAGTACCAGTGCAGATACTTGGCATTTTCATGAGAACTACCAGGGTTGCAGCGGTTGCAGCTGGGACCTGGCTCTGGCACTCCACCACTGTCCTGAAATCATTAGTCTGTATTGTTTTAAAAACTGTCACATGACAATAGGCAAAAATGTATCAGTACTCGTACTTGTAAGTACTCGGCAAGTACCAGTACTCGTACTCACAAAACTGGTATCTGTGCATCCCTTTATTTATATTTATAAAAACAAAATCGTACATTAAAACAGAGATGTACAAATCCCAGGAGCTCCGTGTGCTCCTTACAAATGACAGCGGCCTCCTAATTTTTGAATTTTTCTCTAGTCTAGTCTTGGAGCCCAAAAGTATCGGTACATGTACTCGTACTTGTACCGAGTACTGTACTTGGTACTTGTGCAACCCTAAAAGCAACAGTAGGAGTGGACCATAGGAACAGAAGGGGAGGAACCGGTGTTCCTTAATGTACTCCAAGAAGAGAATTTTACAGCAAGTAAAAAATTCAGTTTTTTTATTCGTACATTAAGAGACACAGGGTAAAGTTATTTAGGTACATTGGGGCATCCAACTGAGGGGTGGGCAGCACAACCAACAAAACGCTAACAGGCCCAATAAAAAAACCAGGTTAACACAGGGGGCTCAACAGAGCCTACAAAGCCACCTGACTGTGTAAACCAGGGATGTCCAAACTGCGGCCCTCCAGCTGTGGTGGAACTACCAATCCCATGAGGCTTTGCAAGATTCCCATAGCGACAGACATGACTCCTGGAGAGAGATGCTTCATGGGATTTGTAGTTTCACCACAGATGGAGGGCCGCAGTTTGGACATCCCTGGTGTAAACAGAAAGAACTCCGGGGGAAAATTATCTAAACCCTTGCATGGTGAATGTCGCTCCAATCCACACTGGAAGGGTTAAGTGCATGTCTTCATCCAGGAGTGAAAAAACAAAGATATGCTCACCAGAACCTTGCAGCAGGTTGGCTGTTAGTCTGGCCCCTGAAGCCTCTCTCCTCCTCTTCTGCAGCGATGGTATGTCTCTGGGCATCTTCACGTCCAATACACTGTACTCACGAGACCTTAGACCGCTGGTGTGGAGTGGGGAGGGAGGCGGCAGGGATGAGAACTTTGCTATTTTAACTCCTAGACAAAAATGAACACTTTTTTTCCCCAGAGTTCTACTTGAAGACCAGGTAGCAGGCTTGCAAATGTGATCTGGTGGAGAGCGCTTTGACGGGGGAAGGGTGGAATCTTCTCCTTAGGCTTGAATGATGAGGTACAAGGGACTTAGTCCCAGAGGAAGCACATCTCTCCTGATCAACATTCTGGAGTGATTTGATTATCTCTTCAACGGTGGACCTCTTGACTAGAAGGTCATCTGACCAGGGTTTAGATGGACAATGCCACAACATTGGCTTCCATCATGGAGAGCCAAGAAGTCTTGGAGCTCAAAAAGATGCTGATCAGATACTGGTCATCCAAGCCCTGTTCGCCGTGCACATCCAAGGGGTGGAAAGTTGGCAGACAGACTTCCTCAGTTGTCAATGTCTGGATTCTGGATAGTCGTCTCTTCAGCCCACGGTGTTTCAATACTTCTGTTGCAGGTGGGGTGGGCACCAGACATGGAAAACAAACTGAGCAGGTTTGTCTCCAGGACAAGGGATACTCTAGCCTTTGCCGTGGAAGCTTTGGTGACTTAATGGGGTCAGATCAATCTGATCTATGCTTTTCCTCCTCCGAAAACCCCGTCCTTGTCTGCTCCACATAATTGGGTTGGAGTGCATTCTGGTGATTCTCATCGTACTGAACTGGTCAAGCTGGCCGTGGTACTTAGACCCCATCAGCCTCTGACAGAATCACAGTTGGCCCTTTCAGATCATCCAGATCTTCGGGTCCCAGAGAAGTGTTTACCACCCTACTTCTCGGTCACTGGCTTTGACAGCCTAGCTGCTGAAACCCAGGTTCTGAGAACTAGGGGCTTGTCAGAGTCAGTTAGTTAGTGGCTAAGCATCAAAATCGACTTCTCACAACGTCTAACATCACACCTGAAAAGCATATTTCTCACAATGCAGGCAAGGAAATGTCATCCCAGAAAGTACTCCATGGGGCCAATCCTGCCCTTTCTCCAGCCTGGGCTGGATCAACATTCAGCCTTGAGTACAATCAATGGTCAAATCTTGGTGGTACTTTTTCAAAGACTACTTGCTTCTCCCTCTTTGGTGAAGGCCTTCATACAGGGTGTCACTCACATTATTCCCCTTGTATATTACCCAGTGGCACCATGGGACCTAACCCTAGTTCTGTCAATTCTTCAGAAACCATTTCCTCGGTCAGGGAAAGAGTATTCCTCAATGAACAAGAAAGAAACACATTGAATGACGTATCACTGAAAACAAAACTACATTCATTTGTATCTTTCATATCCACCAAAAGGTCAGTTTTAAGTGCTGGTTTGTGATGAGTAAACACAACATTTATCTGTAATAAGCATCAATCGGAAATCCTTGTTAGTGAGATCAGATGATACGTTGAACTGTACTGACGACAGCAGAGCCAAGAATAATTCCTCACAATTAAATCAGCTCTGGTCATCTCTTGTGAATTGACATCAGGTAATTGAATCTGCAATCATAACCGTTATCTTATTATGCTCAGATATCTACTGTATGTGTGAAGCAGCACGCGCATTTTATAATCAACTTTACACTGTTTTTCTGCATGTTGTTTAAAAGGTACGTCCATCCAAAGGTCATGCATCAGCTATAGGCGGAGTGTGGGTTGCATCACCCATGGCTATTTTCTAGTGGTGAGATCTTCCCATCTTGGGTCCTGTTCTCGCCTATCTTGGGGTGTTATAATTATGTAACCAGAACTGGAAGGAGCCTGCAGCAGCATATTCCCTAGAAGTGGTAAGCAAATATCTTAGCCCAGCTACTACTCTTTATTTATTCATCCCAGCTATATTAATAATACAGCTTTATCTTAACATCTAAAAAACATTCCACTTTAAATAATGTAATCTCTAATTTTATATATTGAAGGCCCCGATGATGTCGCACAGCAAACTCCACCCGCTTCCAGTTAAAGCTGCTTTCCTAGGAGAGTTCTCTAACGAAGGCAGCAGAAGTTGGAAATGTGCATAGAATAACCCACACCATAAAAAAGGGTCTACATTCAATAATGTGCTGCTGTGCTTTCCTAGCAGAAAGCCCAGCATGCAGTTTTAGTGCGTTGTAATTCTAATACCGAATGCCATATTTTAACGAAATAATTAAAGCTTGAATTCATTTTCTTTGATTCGAATGAACACATTCCAGGTGCATCAAAACAAAAGGTGTTCAAAGTCTTACCAGCTGGTTTTCTTTAGAAAGCAGCAACAACCTGAGTAGAAAAGCCTGGCCCCTGCCGGCATGCTGTAGAGAAGGATCCTTGCTCTCTGGTGGAAGCAGTGGAAACATGTCTTTCTACTGAGTCAGACCTATAGTTCAGCAATTAGCAAAGCTCATGCTCCCCGCTGATTGGAGAGCTCCAACACTGACAATTTACTTATTTCGATAAAGTGGGTAAAATTCAGAACTTTATTGCCATTTGTCCCCTCATTGGGGAGACTTCCCATCACTTCCTGTCTTGAAGACACCAGGGCAAGAACTGAGAGGGTTCTGGATGACATATTATTCTTACCACTGCCCACTCTACTAAAAACAATCTTGCTTTCTGCCTTCATCAGAGAGATATCCAATCACCTCCTCCCCTTCTGATGTTTTCATCGACACAGGAAATTAGGTTGAATCTTCCCAGTGGGGACACAGATATCAGTGAAAACTAGACAAAGCATCTAACCCTTCCCCTCTCTGTTCAAAACCAAAAAAAAAAAAAGTTTGGGTTGAAGTTGGGCTTTAATAAAAATTTAAAGAATTTTTTTTTTATTAAAGAATAAATTAAAAACTAAAAATAATAATACTAACATCTTTATATAAATAATCCTGGGATGTATTTACCTTCATTCCTGCAGCAGCAGCCGGTCCACTAGGATCCACAGCTTGGATATGACACGGTTTATCTCCGCGTACCACAAATCCCCATCCCACCGCATCACTGACAATCTGCACAACAACAACAACAACAAAAAGTTACAAACACATCCATGTAATTCCTAAACTGTGCATTGGTATTAAAAAAGAACTCCAGGCGGGACGAACATTGCTTTCATCATTTCGGGGTACATGCCCTTGTATGTTAGTCTGAGCTGCAGCAGTAGAAGTGACATGATGGTTACAAGTTGCAAAGCTGAGACAGGGACTGCTGCTGGATGGAACTGCAATATGTGTACAGGCCAGTTTGTTCTCCAAAGCATGCAGAGGCAGGATCGTTCCGGAGTCAGCGTCTTTCCGGTTACATTTCTGAGATGCAGCATTGCCTCTGTATAATACCAGGTATTTACATGTCCGCACTTCCAGTACAACACCCCAAAACAAGGAGCTCAGTCTCTGCTTATGGAGTCATGCAAAGCATTCCTTTTTGTCCCGTTAAGCATCCAGAATAGCACAGATATCGATATAATGTTACACAGTCAGTATTACCAATTTACATACAGCTCTTTCAGCTTCTTAGCCCTCATCAGTGCAAGATTTGGCTTTACTGGCTCTATGATGTAGGGCTTGTGAGTCCAGGGGAACAGTACAACCATTAAGGTGGCGGTGAGAGATTTCCCACCCGATCAGGCTATTGCAGGGGTAGGCAACCTTTGCACTCCAGCTGTGGTAAAACTATAAAGTCCCATGAGCCACAGGCATGACTCTCAGAGCAGATACATGATGGAATTTGTACTTTCAGGACAGCTGGAGTGCCAAGGTTGACTACCTCTGGAGTACTGTATTCTGACTCTGGTGGATGTGCTGCCTGCAGAATACCTGAACAGTGACTGCAACCAAATTTTTCGGACCGATCTTGCGATTGATGAATTGCCTTTTGTCGAATAGAAGGGTGCCAATGGGGCCACACGTTGATTACATTTTGTCCGAGTGAGCAGGGCCTGGTGGACATTTTTAGAAGTGTATGGTTAGCTTTATTTTCACATCTAATACCGATTTTGTGGTTTGGAGCTTTCCTTTAGGCCCCATTCACCTATGTAGGTGTTAGGATGCATCAACTTGTGTTTAGGTTGCATGCTAACATGTCTTGCATTAGAGCAGCCTAGGGATGTCCCGATACCACTTTTTCAAGACCAAGTACAAGTACTTCCCCTCATGTACTTGCCGATACCAATTACCGATACTTTTTCTTAAAGGGGCAGGTGACATTTTTAAAAAAACAATACAGACTAATGATTTTAGGCCAATTTCTTTATGATTGTGAAGCAAATACAAATGTTTTATTGTTCTAAAACAGTCTTAAATTCTAAAACAGTTCTAAAACACTCTTAAGACTGTTTTAGAACAATAAAACATTTGTATTTGCTTTCACACAGCTGTCGTGAAACTACAAATCCGATCATGCATCTGCCTCTGGGATCATTTAAACTCTATTGCTCCAGTGTACTGGACGTGTGTAACGTACATGTACCATGTACTACATATAGAGTACACTGCAGCAATAGATGTACAATTATCCTCGGCTAACATGAATGAGTTAAATGATCCGTAGTACAACTACATGTTATGTACCATGGATCATTTAATCCTGCTCATATTAGCAGGGGAGAATAGTAAATCTATTGCTGCAGTGTACTCTATATGTAGTACATGTACAGTACACACTGCACACACTAGATTTACTATTATCCCCTGCTAATATTAAATGAAGTTCTTAATAGGGACCCCAGATACTACATGCATCAATGGCTGCAACCTGACTATAATGATAAATAAAAGGATATCAAGTTTACTGGGAGTAGTGAAGTAATTTAACAGTCTCTAGGGGTTTTCCAACCTAAGAATTGTGTGAGGCAGGATGGGCATTGTAGTTTGCGGGATGCACCTCCTACATAATATGTAAGACTTCAGATCTCCTCACCATAAAAAGGGGGGTCCCAACAAGCCCCCAACCACTTGTCACTTGCTGGGGTAATGTGGGTGAGTAGTGGTAGCAGTAATGGCAGCAAGGAGAGGAATGCACTCTTTAAATAACTGCACACAATCAGTCCATATAAACAAGATCTACTTGCGGTTCTGGAGAGCTCTCTAGATCTCTCAGGTAGCTGGGCTGCTACGCAGAAGAAGGGCAGTTGAATGTGGCTGGCAGCACTGGTGGTAGAGGCAGCAGTCTCTCCAGGGGTGACCTGTCACGGCATCTGAGCGGAAGGGGTTCCGAACGCCGCTGTGGGGGATCGCTCGGCATTCACTAGGTATTAATGTAACGCCGAGCAATCAACCACGCCGTTCTTTAATGGAACGGCTATCGAGCAGGGGGAGGAGCTTCATGAAGCGCCGTACGTGCGCGGCTGCTGGGTCCAAAGCTGGAGCGTCGGAAGGTGAGTCTGCCACACCCGGTAAGGTAAGAAAAAGCTTCGGCGCTAAGTATCAGGGCATTTTGACAAGTACTTGTCAAAATGCCCTGTATCGGTCCCGATACCGATGCTAGTACCGGTATCGGGACATCCCTAGAGCAGCCCATACATTTGAATGGGCTGCCAACGCACCACAATGCAACAGAAATCCGACCTGCAATATATTTTCTGCAATGCAGAACACCACAGTAAAGTGTCACCAAGTGTTGTGGTGCGCTGCATCACAGCTGCCCTTGGGGTGCATTGGGTTAATGCATTGAGGTGCCATTCAAAATGTTTGGCACCACAGCAAGGGCACTGCAGTGATGTGTTAAAACATGTGTTACGGCAGCGTGAATGGGCCCCTAATATTTCCAGCTGCAAAGGCTTTTATTACACTTTTGTATTTGTCATGCATTTAACTGGCATACCGTTGCTGTCAGTCTGCCATCTGCCATGTTCTTCGCTTGGCTGCCATTGCTGACGTCTCCCTTCCAAATGCTGTCTGGTTGCAGATTTCACTACAAGCAGCAGATCTATTGTGAAATACTGATACAGTATAGAGGACATATCCTTCATCGAGAATATAGACTCCTGGTGCCCAGCCTTTGGCCCTTTGGTACTTCAGACCCTGGCAGCCAGTAGCAAATGCTTTTCCTGCCAAGCTTCTTACTCAGACCTGATCAGTGTGTGTCCTACAACAAAATCATAATAGCTCCCGAGCTTGCCATGAAATCTTTTTGCCCAAAGCAACCAATTGGAATCTTTGCTTCATTTTCAAGAGAAGATTGCAAAAATTACAACTGAAATGGTTGCTTTGGGCAATGAGACTTTTTTCTCACAGCTCACTGTTCACATCAGTGCCTTTGCTTCGAAACTCATTTTGCATATATACAGTGTACAGGCAGTCCCCGGGTTACAAACAGGATCGGTTCTGTAGGGTTGTTCTTAAGATGGATTGGTATAGAAGTTGTAACAGGTACATTTTTTTAAGTGTTACTGCAGCCCTCCAAATTTTTTTTCGTTTTGGATATCATAGGGAAGGGTTAACCGCCTGTAGCGTTTCTGTTGCTGTGTTTCCCCCTGTTCAGGAGATTTCGCCTCACTTTTTGTCCCTGTGAGGGTTGTCCTGGAAACAAGGATTGGTGATAAAGCTTCAGTGGAGACACCTTTTTTCCCATAATTACTCTTACAGGAGTGAATTTCCCTTCCTAGGTGTAGATTTCTTCTCACTTCCTGTTGTCTCAAGGACAGGAAGTGAGATTAAATCTTTCCAAACTAAAAAAAATTACATTTTCATGGGGTTCTACCTTAAATGGAACTTGGACAGGTGTGTACAACTTCCTGTAATGTACAGTGACCCAGAAGAAGAGGCGGGCACCCCTCGTCTGCACGTCTAACAAGAGCCAGCTTCCTGTAATGTACGTACAGGACTACGAACCAGACCCAAAAAGGCGGGCACTCCTCTTCGCTGCTGTACAGTAATAGCCTCCGTTTGTAAGTACGAATCGTACGCAAGTCGGATGTTCGTAACTTGGGGACTGCCTGTGTGTATATATATATATATATATATATATATATATAAATATATACTTCAAGCTTTGTTAGTACTACAGAGGGCGCACCGGGATGGTGTTTTCTTCTCTGAATGTGAATCTCCCCAACCATTGAAGCCCCGTTCACACCAGGGCGGCTGAGGATCAGCGCAGTTTCCGTGCAGATTTTAAAGGGGCGGTTTTGGGAGCTTGTAATTGCGTATGGAAACCGGCTGCGTATGGAGCTTGTAATTGCGTATAGAAACCGGCTGCGTATGGAAACCGAGCTGATCAGCAGGGCAAAAAAGGGTCAGGGAGCAATTCGGGCGGGAGGTGGTACGGATGGCGTGGCCAAATCCGCGCAGCCGAACTGCCCTAGTGTGAACGGAGACTTAGTGTACTAAGATTAGACATTAGCAATGTATGGGATCGTTCATGTGAGTGGATCCGTGTGGCCAAATCCGCCCAGCGAACCACCCTGGTGTGAATGGGGCCTTAGGCCTTGTTCACACCAAATGCAGAGCAAATCCGCTCTGCACACGCAGTGCAGTGGGTTGTGATGCATTTTTGTCGCGTTTTTGATGCGTTCCGGGATGCTTTTGGTTTAGTTTAGTTTAACAAGGGCTTTCAGTGCGTTCCAGGCATTTGCATGCGTTTTTGATGCGTTTGCAGATCCAGAGCAGGTAAAATAGGGCCTGCTGCAGTTTTTTCACCTGCTCTGGACCTGCTCTGGAACTGCACGCTGCGATGTGAACTGGAGCAAAAAATACCATTGGAATACATTGGACGCAGTTTTGATCCGGTCTGCAACTGATCTGCTCTGCACCTGCTCCGTGCTTGGTGTGAACAAGGCCTTAGTGTACTCAGATTAGACATTAGTGTGTCATACTCACAGTCAGGGTTTTCCTTGTGTACGGTGCACCAGGGCTCAGGAGCTCTTCCAGCGTAATCGGCCTCTTTAAAACTACATGATAAAAAATAATACCAAATAAGATAAAACAAAAAAGGAATGTCCCGGCCCAGAGATACCTGGGAATAGCTTAGGTAGGACTGGATGCTGACAATAAAACCATGTCCTGGACTTGTACTGCATAATAATTAGAATGTCTGTATTTAATATGTAAAGCAACAACATACCCTGTAACATTGTACATCAGGAATATATCAGACATATTGTGTACCGTATATACTCGAGTATAAGCCGTCCCGAATATAAGCCGAGGTACCTAATTTTAGCCAAAAAAACTGGGAAAAAGTATTGACCCGAATATAAGCCGAGGGTGGGAAATGAGGCAGCTACTGGTAGATAGATACCATTAAAATACATTAATATTTATTTAAAAGAAAAATAACCTAGCTCTGTAAGTGGAAAAGGGGGTACAGGGCTACATATCATGTACTACGGATCATTTAACCCATTCATATTAGCAGAGGATAATTGTAAATCTATTGTTCAGTGCACTCTATATGTAGTATATAGTACATGTACATATAGAGTGCCTGCAACAATACATTTACAATGATCCTCTGCTAACATGAATGGGTTAAATGATCCATAGTACAGGGCTACATACAGATCATTTAATACATTCATGTTAGTATAATTGTAAATGTATTGTCTGCACTGTATTAGCAGTATATACTCTATATAGAGTATATACTGCTAATACAGTGCAGACAATACATTTACAATTATACTAACATGAATGTATTAAATGATCTGTATGTAGCCCTGTACTATGGATCATTTAACCCATTCATGTTAGCAGAGGATCATTGTAAATGTATTGTTGCAGGCACTCTATATGTACATGTACTATATACTACATATAGAGTGCACTGAACAATAGATTTACAATTATCCTCTGCTAATATGAATGGGTTAAATGATCCGTAGTACATGATATGTAGCCCTGTACCCCCTTTTCCACTTACAGAGCTAGGTTATTTTTCTTTTAAATAAATATTAATGTATTTTAATGGTATCTATCTACCAGTAGCTGCCTCATTTCCCACCCTCGGCTTATATTCGGGTCAATACTTTTTCCCAGTTTTTTTGGCTAAAATTAGGTACCTCGGCTTATATTCGGGACGGCTTATACTCGAGTATATACGGTAACTGCAGACAGAAATCAAGGCCCTATGACCCCAAAACCATTATAGTTACTCTAAGAGAAACAAATGGTCTTTGATTAATGATATTTTTCCTTTTTTATAGAGGTTATTGGGTTATCCATTTACATACAAAAGTTTTATTAATAATAACAACAACAACAAAGATATAAACATTTACAGCATTGTTTTATAACGTGTCCTTTCCACGTGGCTCATTCTGTGGTCTGCATGTGTTTGTGGTTTCTTATCTCTGACAGCAGATTGTACAAGAACCAGGATAAAAATACTGCGGATTGCACAATGACCCTGTTGGGCGAGCACACCCTCCAGTGACTGATGATTGACAAACACTTAGCGGAAGAATGTTGTGAAGGTTGGCAGTTTTCCTGTATACATTGCAGGGTCAGGGAGTGTGAAAGTCTGTATACTGGCTTAACGAGATGTACGCTTTCATTTCACCGCAGTGACATTTAAAGGGACAATAAATCTTAAACAGGAACTGTAACCTCTATAAAAGGGAATGTTTACATTTTCCATATATTTTGTTTATTAGGGTCAGGACCTAAAAGGTAACATTTTAAAAAAATGCAGGTAAATATGAAATAATGGGTATGGATGCTATTTATTCTTATATCCAATAGGTTGGTGGAACTCTCGTGTTTTCTAAATTCAAATCCTCCTGTTTCTGAAATCCTGCTTACAGAACTCAATAGCTCAAGGTGCAATGAAGAGTCAGATCAGTGTATCAGGAGGCTTTAATAAATTACAGTTTGCCTGAAATGTTGTAAACTATATGGAGAAAAGTTTGTGGACTCCTGACCATCACTCCTATCTGAGTTTGTTGAACATCTCATTCTGCAACCCTGGGTATTAATATATTGCGCCCCCACTACTTTGTGCCTGTAGTAGCCTCCACTCTTCTGGGAAGGCTTTCCACAAGATTTTGGAGAGTGCCTGGTAGAATTTGTGCCTATTCTTCCATTCATGAAGTCAGTTACTGATGTTGGATGAGAAGACCTAATACAACAAATCACCAGCACACCATGTTCAGATGAGAAGACAGGGCACTTTGTCACTATTAGTAAGTGACATTTCGAGATCACTAACAACCTCTTTCTCAATGCTGGCTGAGGAAGTGGGACTTATTGGCCTTGAAACCTCACTTCCTGTTGGTGACAATAAAGTGTCCAGTATTCTCATCTGAACAAGGTGCACCAAGTGATATCTTTGATTGGGACCTATGTTGTGGTGGTGGTATCTGCCATTCCACCATAGCACCCTTTTATGATTGGGTCTGAATGCTGTATGGAGTGCACTAAACTTCTTGGATTTATGGATGAGAAGATCTGGCTCACAATTAGTATTCAGACTCATTCCAAAGGTGTTCATTAGAGTTGAGGTTGGCCTGTTGAGTTCCTCCACCCCAATGTCATCAAACAATGTCTTTATGAAACTTTGAGCAAAGGGTCACAGTCATGCTGGAAAAGAAAAGAGCCTTCCCCAAGCTGTTAGAACAGGGCTGGAAGTGTACAATGCTGTAGAATTAATGGTACCCTTCACTGGAAACACCTGAACTTTATAATTTGGAGGGGTGGCCACATACTATGGCCATATAGTGTGATATATTGTATAAATAATAAAGCAGATATAAAAAAACATCAGTTGAATAACTTAAAAATAATAAAATGGACCCAAACCTCACACTTTCAATGCGCGATGTGTTTGTGCACGTTTTTGTGGGTTTGTCGCAAACAGGGCAACCCATAGAGCGCTGCCCTATATGCGACCAACATACCAATGAAGCTCATGTTCCTTTTGGATCTTCAAGCTGCATGTGCCATACATCTTGGCTGCTGCATTCGGGGTTTCACTAACAACAAATGGCACAGCATGCCCAGCATACGTTTCTCACGCATATCACAAATGTGCGCAGTCAAAAGATTTTGTGCTCGTTCACACGCTACAAAAGTGTGAGTGGGGGCTTACAGTTCAGTAATTAGGAGTGGGAATCACAGGTGATGGATCATAAGTGATACATTGCTCGATGTACTCACCAGACCTGGGATTGCAGAGTACCACAGGCGGGCTGTTGCTGAGTGTGGGGCTGCTGCTGAAGTAGCCGCTACTACTGCTGCTGCTCATACTGCTCCTCCGGATCGACGACACAACCTTGATTTCACTGCTGGGGCTCACTGCACAACAATGGACAACACATGTCAGTCTCTTCCTCCATTTCAGCTGTTCACAGTATAAAAGAAAATGTAACACCCACCTCCGGCCAAAATAGTTTTTGTTTTTTCTTTTTACATTTTGACAGCGTGAGGAAAGGATAGAACTACTGTCAGGTTTTATCTAAAGTCTGTGACCCCTTTAGCAAGATTTACCTTCATTTCCTGTCAGGCCTTGACTGCAAGAAACTAATTCTTTTTTAGTAAAATCAGGGAAGGTTTAGAGCAGGAGTAGGCAACTTCGGCACTCCATCTGTTATTAGTATTATTATACAGGATTTATATAGCGCCAACGGTTTGCGCAGCGCTTTACAATATAAGGAAGACATTATAATCACAATACAATTCAAGACACGATGGTAAGGAACTAGAAGCCCCATGAAGAATCGCAAGACTGACAGCCACAGGCTTGACTCCTGGAGGAAGAAGCATGATGGGATTTGTCGTTTCAGCACAGCTGGAGTGCCAAGGTTGCTTACCTCTGGTTTAGAACCTCTGTCTGGTTTGTGGCTTCCTGCCTCCTTGATAACAGCTTCCAAATTCCTTGGCCTGCTGTCACTGGGACAGGAAGTGAGGTGATATCTGCCTAACGGGGCCTGGACATAAGTGAAACCCTGGCTATTCTATGCATGACTTTTTGGGAAGCTTGCGGTTCTCTTAAGCGTCGTGTTGACGGCTCGCCTCCCTCCTTTCTCTCACTGCTTTATTCTTTATTTCCTTCTATCTCCATTTTGTATCCTTTCACTTCTTACACCACTTCTGAGGTCCCCCTACAGGATCATCCCTGCCATTCGAACATTGCACTCCGATTGCCCCATAGGTTCTACATAGCAGGCCCGGGAACATGCGCACCTCATGGACTGCCCCAAGGTGTCTCAACTCTCATTTTTTAAGCACTACTACTTTGCCTATGTGAAAATGATTGTAACTTTTGATAACTTTTTAGATTGTTATTACTGCACTGCTCCCTGGGACGAGGTATCTTGGTTGTGGGTGGGCCCTTGGAATAGTTAAACTGCCATCTACTTATATTTGTATTACTATATTTTGCCGGTTTGTATACCTTTATACTGAAAAAAGCTGAATTCTGTAAAAAAAAAGAAAAGAAAACCTGGCTGAGGTTGTAAAGATTAAAAA